TTTGACAGACAGTGTTAAATACCAGAGGATTCATATCAACCACTTTATTTGAAAAGGTGCTTTGAAGTTGGCTATCTTTCATGTACCTCTTTCATGGCACATTAATAAGGAAAACTGAGATGGGGTAAATTAAGTCCCAAGGTCATATCTAGAGTTACAGCGCTGTGGGTACCTGATGAAATACGGATTAATGCTGCATGAGCACTGAATAAATAAAACCACTTCTGTTAACCACTCAAACAAGTTTTACAAGTAGTTCTGAACTTTATTCGGCAACTAGACTTCAGACATCTTAATCCCCCCACACTGCTTTGAAACCTAATTATCATAATGTGAACCCGAATGTTAGGTCCCTTTCAAACTGCGAGTGCTATGAAGCAGAAAAGTAATGGGAATTAAGCTAGTGTAACATTAGAAATGTAGAGGCATGGAACTTGAAAGTGGCATTTGTTAAAGCTGAGAGAGCATAATGTAGATATTCAACAACATAAAACACACATTTAAATTGAAAAGGATATTTAAAGCATGTGCAGACACCTATAAAATACAAGCGGACCTAAAATCCCGTAGAACAAACATTTCTAAATCAATTTCTTGCCACCAAGGTCCAACTTCAAAAGGTATTACAGCCCTATTCTACCTTAGCAGAACATTTCTAAGTATTCTAAAGCAGATAATTTAAACATTAAAGAAAACCCAATGAGAACTTTACAAGACATTACAGACTTTCCCCTATTCGTCACAGTACAGAAGTGTTTGAACTTAAACAGCAGTAAATTATTAATTACATTGCTTATAAAGTCTTGAGGGTAAGAAAAGATTTTGCTGTAAGTGGCAGAAAAGGATTTTGCATCAAGTTTAAAACCAAGCAGACAGAAATTAAACACACACCCATTTAAACAGCAACAAAAAATACACTGGCCTGGCTGCACTCTATGCTGCTTGTTGAAAACAATTAACAATTCCTGACACTTATCAAACTTCCTTTTAAATACAAACTGAAATACTTTACTCTGAGTTTGCTTTAATGAAGCAAGCACATAAGAGTCAGATCAGTAAGAATGCTTGTATTGTGACAACAAAACCATTGAGGCTGAAAGGGAAATTGCGATTTGATTTTGCCAAATACAAAGATGGAGCTGTTGGTTTTGTCCTGCTTTAGCATAGTTCACCTGTCACTCAGATAGCTTTCATTTCCAAGATGCCTCAAACTGACAGCAATCAAAGAAAATCAGATTCCTGAAATATTTTTTCAAGATTTTCATTTAATCCAAAAAGGCCAATGAAATCCTGAAAGTTCATCATCTGCCATGTTAATGCTGAACACAATGTTGTTTCATTTACATTTCTGGTCCTGTTAAAACAAATACACTTGTCTAAATTAGAACATCTGTTTTGGTTATAATACAATGTATCTTTGGCAAGAATTCACAATAGAACTAACATAAATAATCAAAAATATTTATTGAACCTTGTAACAAAAACTGATTTGTAACAAAAAACCCAAAGACTAGATATGATTGTCCCTGGCTCTAGTCCAATCCTAATCTAAGTCAATAAACACAGCTCTAAAAGGGAAACTACAGTTAAAAAAAAAAGGAAAAGAAAGTCCTGTAGTTATTTAGGTTGGATGTAGCTATCTGAAAGCACGTTAGTTACAAAAATAGTGAAAAATATTTGCTTTAAATCAAAAACTGTCAAACTGAGTCCAGACAGGTTTTAAAGCCACATGAGAAACCATGCCATATGCCTCATTTCCTACTACTGTCTTCACTGATTCATCTTCTCTTTGGGAAACTTCAGTAAAACTCTGTGTAGTTTATATTTGCCATTGCTAAGTATTTTTTATTTTAATCATTTGCTTTTAATATATTATATTTAGCCTTCATTATGTGTGCATGCACCAACTGCACACACCTTTCTGAAATTATACCTTCTATTCTTGTCTCACTTCCCTGGAAATGCATGATTCCAAGCTCTATATGATGAATTGGACAGAAAAGTATGAAGAGATTCTATTTTTTTTATAATCATTCCTGATCCTATTCTTCACTCCTAATATTTCCTGAGGAAGTTGAAGTCTGTAGTACCTCCCCATCATTCACCTTTCTGAACAACAGCTTATGGTGAGTGTCCAGCTTCATCTGCCAAGCCCCTTTACATTTGGACTCCTTTAAGGAAAAAAAGTTTCAAGAGAACATACAATTTGTAATTCTCTAAAACTTGCATACAGCAATGAGCTGAGCTCTGTTTTTCTGGGCAAGGATTTCCACCTTGATGCAGCTCAGTGCATTCCTGTGAGAAGCTGAAAGCTTGGGAAATGGTATCATGTTAGATGCAACTGACTCATTCTGTTACCGTTCAAGTACTGGATGGGCTTTTTTGTTCTAGGGGGTTTAGGTCATTTTGTTTTGTTTGGGGTTCTTTGTTGCTTTGTTTTCCCCACAGTTTAAAACCTATATCGATTAGCAAATCCATTCTTTATTTGCAACTGCAACCTGCTGAAGCAGGCCTTAAGAATTAACTTTTCTAACAATGGCTGAAATTATTTCTTATAGATTTTAAGTGAAAAACAATGAATAATCATCACTTCATCCAAAAGCATACACAGATTTCCACAGCACTGATGAGAGATATGTATTCAGCCTATATATAAACAAAGTCCTCATACTTTTAAAAAAGCCTATCACGAAAAAACAACCTCATCTAGGGAAGATTTTGAACATGGAAGCAGGTGTTTGTGATCTGAAAGCACATACTCTAGAGGAATTTACTCTTTAAAAAGAAGAGAATCAGCAGACCATATTCTTCCAAGTCACCTTCCAGAGTTCCCCTCAAAAGGTATAGCAGTTATCCCAATGTACACCTACTGTCACCTATTGCTCAACCACTAACACTGTGCTAATTGCCCCTCACTTAGCAAATATCACATTTTTAACTCAGACTGACATAAATTCCACGCATTTCACTGGATTATCACAAGTGGAGGTTGGATGGCTGGACTCATCATTCCTTTCTGCTACTAAGAAATACCAAGGAGATTAATGCTTTCTGGAGCTAGAAAGGAAAAAGTAGCTGCCTTGCAGGGCTCGGCAGCATGGCTTGGAAACCCCAACAGTGGATGAAGTAATGAGATGTACATGAAACTAGCTGATCAGAAAGGGATATATGGGAACCCTGATCCTTACAAAAAACCTCAGTACAGACTGACAAAATGTAAGAGAGACAAGAACTGCAAATGCAGCCTGTCTGTAAACTCACATACATAAATTCACACACAGACAGCAGTATGCAAAGTTCAAGAGTCCCAGATGACGTCTATAACATGAAATCCAAAAAAAACCACTTTGCTTTAACGTGAAGCACCTCGTGGCTCTGCACACAAATTCTGGACTAGCTCTGCCATATGAACCCAACATAAGAAAACCACTAACACCATAAATGTATAAATTAAAAAATTTCTGATAATGTTAATTTTCAGGATGTTACATGTCAAGTTAAACTGCAGTTATAGATTTTTGCTACAAACAGCAGTTTTGGACAAAGTGAAAGGTTAAAAAATTATCAGTCACTACTAGAGAAAGCAACAAACTTGTTAACCTGACTTCTGCCACACAGTATTTATACTAAGTCCTATTACACAAGAGCTTTTATTGGTTCTAAAAACTTGGTAACTAAAGTACTACTTTGAAAATTTCGTCACCTTGAATTACAAACAGGGAGAAAATAATCAATCAGAAGAGGTAAACAGTGATAAAAACAACAATCACAGTACTAAAGAAACATTTTTTTCTGTGTAAAGTAGTATATGATCAATAAATAAACAAAACCATTATTTCAAAATATTATTATTATTGCTATAATAATGGATTTTTAAGCTTTATGAAGTGAACAATAGTGAAATTATGCATTTGCCAAAACCCACACAGTATGAAGTGTTTTGCACTCTCTACAGTCATAAAACATCCACTGTTTTTGTGCTGGACTCAGTAAATAGGATGCCTAATTTTTCAGAAGCTTGAATAACCTCCTCCCTTTGCAAACAATTACCATTAGAAAACCTTTACTACATCTCCTGGAATAAAAGAGTGATTTAAGAATGAAATCTTGCACAAATTTACTTGGGAATCATAGAAATGACGAACAAGTGCAACACACCATAAGACAATAGAAATAACATATTTGTTAAACATTTCTGTAAGGCCACTTTCTAATTTATGAAAAAAGGTACTTTTAAATGTATAGAACAGTTTAAACAGCAAAAGGCCATAATCTTCTTTAAAAATACAGAAAACTTATTTCTGCATGCTGAGACAGTGAAAACTAAATACTGCTGTTAAATGCTGGCACAAAGGATAATCCAAGGTAAATCACAAAAAATTCTTTAGAAAAATAAAGGTGGGAATTAAAAAAAAGAGAGGAGTACCACATGGTAGAAAAGAAGGTGGTATCATACATTTTCCATCCAAACCAACAGAAGAATACTTTAGCTCAAATTCAACAAACTAATGGATAAAATCTGAAGTCAGAAAAAGATAAATATATTTACTACTCTCCACTTGGTATTAACACAGTATTTATTTCCAGATCATTTAATTCCCATAGGATTACCAAGCATTCCATAGTGCAGTCAGACACCAGAAGCTTTATCACGTGCAGTTAAACCTCGTTCATCAAGAAAAAAATACACAATGCCAAACGAGTCCTTAGCTGGTAGTGTTGCTATTCTCACATACTTTGTTACAATGATAATAGCAAGAGAGTGAACCTCAGGAAGAAAAAGTAAAATGCTTCAGTGAGTCTCTCTTACTGACTCAGGATCACTATTGTCATGCTTCAAAGAGCTACAGCTAGTTTTCTTTGGCTAGAACCTTGGGTCAGGCTTGACTCAAATACAGACAAGGCAGCAAAAAGAAATACTTCAAAAATTACATCTAAAATTACCTGTTAGGTTAAGATATGCTGAACAAATGAATAATATCCCAGCAAAGGGATCTTACCAGTAAACAACATCCAGTGGTGCAAAATATTTCTTCATAATTAAGTCAGCAAAGTAAGCTTCTGTTTCTCTGCAGGCCGTGCCATTGCCAATCACAACAGTGCTGCAGCTTTGTGTGGGTTAAAAAACCAAACAATTACTCTCAAATATTCTTTTATACCTTTTCATACATAGTATTCAATCCTCCACTGTGATCAATCCACCTAATTTTAGATAACACAAGGCTCAGATGTAATGAGAAAACATTCCTAGAAGCATCATGTTGTGTTTAACAGGTTTTCAATGTGACAGTTCATGAGATGAGTAAAAAATTTTCACTTATTTATAATTGGATTGTGCAGTAGTAATATAAGCAGAAAATCCAAAAATGATACTTCATATTAATAAATGGAATGTTATTTATAGTCCTCAAACACTTTCACCTCGTTTTTCCCTCATCTGGTATGAGTCATGAAAAAGAGCAGAAGCCAAAGCAATCAGCATCTTAATTTGTTAATGGGAATGTCATAGTTTCCAACAGCTTGCAAGGTCATTCCCTCTGAGTGCCCGCACCACAGCTAGCCACCAAATCACCTTGTTTAAAGCCAATCTAATGCTTATAGACAAACTGGACTGTATGCTGTGGTAATTCAGCAGCTGACTCAGTAGACCAGATGTCTGTCCACAGACATAGTTGGACACAAACTTTTAATCATGCTGTCCCTGTTTGTAATTCCATCTGGAGAACTACCTTTGCAGGATTTCCTTTGCTTGACAAAACTCTACTAAAACCTAATGTGGCTTTTGGAACAGAGAAAGACTGATGAGTGATTTGGGGGTTGCAGGGGCTAGGAAGAGGAAGGCTAAAGTTATTTCTTAGGTGAATACTAATTTCTATTCCCAAAAACACATGGATTAACAGTTTTATGGGGAAACATTCATAGCACGCAGCCTTGATTTGACATGCTTCTAACATATATGTACTGCAAACGCACGAACACAAAAGAAAAAGCAAGCTCTGAACTAGACTAAAGAAAATAAACCTCCAGTTAAATCAGCAGAATTCTTATTGCAAGTAAAATCAAGTATTTCTACAGTGAAGATTTTAATTTTGTTTGGTAAGAAAAGAGCAATAAATGAAAGTTTCTTTAGCATACTTGTACTGTAGCAGAAGCCTCTTGATCTTCTCAGCTTCACGAAATCCTTGACCAGAATGCAAGTAAACTACATCAGTATGGAGTATCTGACCTAGAATGAAAGGCAAAGTCATTTGATTAAATCCACAAAGGTCCAAAGGCCACATTCTGCAGAACTACTGAACTTGATTTGATGGTTGACAAAAGAAGATTCTTAATCAGCCATCTTTCTCTTTGATCTCTATATCCATTTAGAAGAAATGTATGGTTGGCATAAGACAAGAATGCTTTGGCAAAAGAAAAACAAGTTAATACATTTTGTAGTTCCCTGCAGGCATATTCACATATCAAGTAATGAACACCTAAAACTATCAGCAAATATAATGCATTATATCACAGAGAAAGAGAGCAATTTACTATAAAATATTTATTGTTCTAGTGTAGTACAACTTGGAGATCTAGTAAAGAGTGATGAAAACTAGAAAGTCTAAGGACTTGCAGTACATAAGTTCTAGAATTCCAACGCTAGCTTTTGTCATCATCCCATCTATCACATTTGGAAAGAACTGCATTAACCACTACTGATAGCTAATGGTGCAATGAAAGCTCAGTCATTTACTGCACCTTTATTGGCTTCTAAAGAACACACCTTTCTTTACCTTCTTCTGGGGTGAATATAGTCTCAAGCAAAAAGTAACAACAAAATAACAGGAAAACAAATAGTTTTTGCATAAGCCTAAAGAGGTGTGCAGCCCCTCAATAGACTAGGATGAAGTGGAAAGGCTCTGCTCCATATGAGAACTAAGTTTTGCAAAAACAATGTTTCTGACCTCTTACATTAAACACACACTGCTACACAAAAAGGGTTGAAAAAGTGTCCAGATGTCCAAGACACTAGCCATGAAAAAAGCAATATTACAGAAAGTATTTAAATACAAATTCTTTGTCAAACAATAAAAATGCCAGGTGTTCTCTTTGCCAACTACTGAGGGACACAATCATTTCAACCTGTATTCAGGAAGGCAGAAAGCATCTTAAATTCTATTTAAGAGAGTAGTAATAATGTTAAAGAAGTCACTGGAATCCAGGTGCCAGAAACTTAAGCTAGCTGAAGAAAGAAATTTATACAACAGGATGTGTGGAAAGCACTGAAAGTTTTACAAAAAAAAAAAAATTTTGATAAAAAAAGTAGGTTTTGAAACTATCTTTACTCTAAATGAATGCATTTTTATCAGTCCTTCCAAAAATGTTTGGAATTGAAACTTACTGGTTGGTGAAATAATTGCCAGCTTGCAGCCATGTTTGTAGCCAGGATCTACTCCCATCAAAGCACGGCCCCTCACAGGGCTGGTCAGAAGCAGCTGACGGAGATTTCTCCCAAACATCATCACAGACTCTTTCTCTGCATCAGATGTCAACTTGGATCTTAGAAGGATAGAAATAAAAGAAAAAAACCCCTCAAATATTGTTCTTTCAAGTAACTTTCAAACACACGTATTAGTTGTTCCAAAGTTGTAAGGCCTTTTCCAATCATGTTTCCATCATCTTCAATTAAATGTTACAATTCAAATCAAGTTGTTGACACCTTTTTCAAAAGATCAGCTATATGTCATCTCATTCTTGTTCTAAGAAAACCAGTCAATATTAAAAGTACAAGAGAAACACTTATAAGAACATACACCCACCAACTACCATTCAAACATCAACTCCTAATTTTGAGCAAAGAACAGCTTCCTTTCAAAGATTATACTAATTGTAAAGAAAAGAGGATTATGAAGGAGGCACTGATCAAATTCATCACAATTTCACAGTTCTAGAGAAAAATCACAATCCAGCAAAAAATGGATGGTGAGAGAAACTGGAACCAGAGAGGAAACTGGAAGGGTCCCTCCCACTAGCTGCTAACACACCATGACTCCTGAGGCATTTAATTTCTCTTTGGATTGCCAACAGACATCATAGAAGTGTGAAGACTTGAGCTTCTTCTAGGAGGGTATTCTGATTCCTCAGAACAAACTGCAAAGCTGCTGGGGCCACAGTGTTCCCTTTCTTTTCCAAGTCATGTTCTTCAACAGGAAGAAGTGAGGTAGTGCAGTAAGGATTGACTTAGATGACTTGAAGCACAAACTTACTGCAGAGTGTCACAAGAAACAAATTGGTCTTGAGTGAAGATGTAAAAGATTCACAATGTCTTACTCATTAGATGTGGCCAGCAAGACAATGACTGACAAGGACAAATATTTTCATCATGGTATGGCACTTAAAAAAAATAAAGCGGAGAGAGTAATGTGTACAAAAATATTCATCACCTCTCTGATTTCTTTTTCTTCTGCAGGTACTCATTATCACTTGCCTATGCATTACATTGTCAGTAACTCCAATAATTGGGGAGTCAAAAGCAATCCAGTAAAGCCTTCATTTAAAAGGTAGCCAGTGCCCTTATTCTGCCTTTCTTTTTACCTATCACTGAAAAAAAACCTGCTATCTTGGTTTATTTTGACAGAATGGAAAAAAAAATGCATTACAGTTAACTAAGCCTATCAGAATGGGACAGGGAAAATTGCTCAAGTTGTTTAAGGTCAATCAATGCATGGCACAATAGTGTCAACTACACATAGTTCAAAGAGAACCCTCATAAGGGCTATTTGACATGATGGAATATGAAGCTGTTCTGAGGAGGTTTTGGTTGTGGAAGAACTCCAAAGCTTGACTTGACTTTGCCCAGGATCCAACCAGTCAACCAGCTCAGCCCTGTCTCATCCCACAGTGGTACAGAAAGAACTAATAAATCCTCATCATCTCTGATTTGTAAAGTAGACCACAGAGAGGTCTAGGTCCTCTTTCACACTTGGCACATTTCCTGGGGAGCATTTCCTAGGGAAGCATGCAACAGCAAAAGGCTCCCTTTTTCCATGTGCTCTTTGTTTCTGTATCAGGTAGGTGAGATTATCACAGGCACAATTCAGAGAGATGCTGAAGGGCATACATGCAGTACAAGGCTCCTTAGCAGTTCAAATGTGCCCTCAGCAAAGAGCAGACACCATATCACCACCAAATGTGTGAATGGTTGCACCAGTTCAGCTAAATTGTCCCTCTATTCCAGGATTCTGTCTCCAAGTAGTTGCCTAAACAGCTGACAGCTCCAGCATCTGTCCAATAATCTTGCCCTACAGCTGCTTCCAGAGTATTTCCTGGGCTTGACATGACTTGTCTCTTTACTAGCTCATAACAGAGCTCTTGCTCAACTATCCAACCTCTTCCTGAAGACAGATAAACTTCTTTCATCCACACAGCCTGTCGGCAGTGAGTTTTGCAGGTCCACAACAAACTGTAAATAGCTGTCATCTTTTGGCTGGAAACGGATTGTTTTTGTTATGGCCCCCTAAACCTTATACTGGAGGGGAGTAAAAATTTTTCCCTAGAAACCTTGTTCCACTCTTCACACATCATTTATCTCCAAGTCCTCCCTGTTCCAAGTTGAAGTCATAGTGGAGCCATTTTTTTTGTTCCAGAGAAATCATTTCATTCCTCGTTCCTCTTTGCTGGGCCTTTTCAAGTTCCAGTGAATTGTTTTCCTACTTCCTACCCCCCTCCCCATGTGAGTGGACCAAAATGGACAACAATATTCCAAATACAGGCCAAATAAGTCAATGATTCTTTGTCTTTATTCCTTACATAAATAATCTCATCTTCTGAGCACTTAATATTCATGTGGAGCTACCTTCCATGGTGCCAAAGGCCCTCTCCCGTGGCAGGAGAGCTCAGAGCTAATAGCTTTACTTATGAAAAAATAACTACTTCCCCTTGAAAGTATAATTTTGCACTCATTTTCCACTGCATTTCAGTTGCCATTCCATTTCTTGATCATTCAGTCTTACAGCATCCTTCTCCCATTCTCCCCTTCTCTAATTAAAAAAAAAAAAAAAGAAAAAAAACCATAAAATCTAAACTACAGAACAAGATGCTTCTAGGGTGAGTCCAGAGATAGAACAATTACATGCCACTTATGAGAGACCAGAGAAAACAAAAGCAAATACCTCAGCCTCACAGAAGTATGGATCTTCTAAATACACACATAGAGAATCAACCAGTCACCCACGCATGCAAATGAAGGTCAAAAGTGGCTTGTAGACAAGGGAATGGAATGCCCTTGAACGAAAGGTTTTGTACAAAAACAGGCCATTCCATCCTTCCACTTATCCCAAGGATACAGGTGCCACAAGGCCAAGTCCTCCCACACTGCAAATTGCTGTCAGTCCAAGGAAGACTTGTGTAGGAATTAAAATTGCCCCTAAACACATGCTATTAGTTATGTCAGCCTTATGGAAATCATGTTTAAAATTGGCATGGATATACATCAACTTTTACAGCAACAGGAAATGTTACTGAAATTGCCAGGTGTGTAGGGAGAATGTCCTGTCTATTATGTAATACCCTGTGTATTTAAATTTCAAATATAGACATCTCTTTTTTCTCTGTCTCTTACTCAACACTTGTATCAATTACATGATCTGCTGTCTGAAGCAGTGGCCCTTAATTTCAAGCCTGGTATAATCATTTGATCCTTTGGAAAAAAACCCCATCAAGCTACCCAAACAATATAATACGTTTCTCTTTTTCAGTGTGTTATTGGCTTCATCCAAATGGCAAGATGTCCAGCTTCATGCTTTTTCAATTTACAACAGTTCTCATTAATATGGCAGATCTTCTCTAAACACAAGTAAAATGGCTATTTTGGGAAAAAAAAACCCAAACAAACCTCAAAACCCTTCAGTTCCTACTTTATGAAAAAAAAAATCAATTAAGTCAGGACTCCCTTGAGTCTAAGCCCCTCCCTTGAAGTCTAGGAAGCACTCAGACTGTATATCACTAACAGGTGTATAGTAATAAAAGCAAATAACCTAATAATCATCTAATAATTTCCATTTCCAGTGTTATAAGATTCAGTTTTTAAACTGAGATTTAAAATTCCACACTCCCAATTACATTTCTGTGGAAAAAGATCTGCAAACTAGCTTCAGGTGTGAAACAAGATATACAGAGAAATGTTTGTGTCCCTGAAGACAGTGGAGAAAAAGCACTTCTGCAAGAAATCATGGAAAATTATGAAAGGATTATCCATTAAGAAACATGCCCATGCCACATTACCTGCATGAAACCCTGATGGAATTATTCCATGCAGTACTGCAACAAGATAAAATGTATTTGAAAGAGCCAAAAGCAACAGTGGACATTACTATACCAGATACAAGAAATGACATCTGACAGAATGGAAGAAAGGAAATTAAACAATAAATAAGGTAATCGTCTTGCTGGCAAGTTTCGTTCTTCTTCTGATCACTAGAAGCACCAGCAATTTCGAGACATTCTTGGAAACTTTCTGTTCCAACATTAAATGATAATAAAAAGAAAAAAGAACAGCAGGAGGTGGGTTGGAAATAATGCTAAAAGGAGGTACTGAATACTTTAGCAGCCCTTTGCAAGAGTTGGAAAAAACAGCTCGTGGTGTGTCCGGAAAGAAAATAGGAGGAGGATAAGGGTTAAGTGGTCAGGGACCAGAATACTGTCAGGTGCTTTGAGTTCCTCTCTGCAGGAGAGGTTTCAGATTTTCCTATCCAAACTCCACCAATCATGCAACATCATCATAAGGAGTAAAACCTAAGCAGACATACCCTCAGGAACCAGCAGCAAACTTTGTATGCTTCTCATTGATTGCTTGTGAACTACATCTAATAAGTAGTAGGGAAGGGAAGGAAGCTTTTTTTCCCCTTTTGATCAATAGAACAGAAAACCTTCAGCAACCTACTGCTCCAGTAGTCCTCAAAGTGTTACACACAAGACAGGCCACAGTGCTACAAACCACTGAATAAAAATACAAGAAAAGAGCCTTGAAGCACCCCTATATTTCTTAAAATCTAACCCCACTAAAAAGTAGCTAGTTTTCTTTATTTTGAAAGAGTTTGATTGTACAGATGAAGAGACTGTAGTGACAGAAACCAACAATTGAACTCTCCACCATGAGATGTTCACCATTTTGACCACAACAGACACAGTGCCTCCCCTAGAGTAGCTACATGTATTGTGGTCACAAAATAGTAAGTGAACTCAGTATTTTTAGAATCGGTGAAATTCTAAGTAACAAAAGACCAGGCTCACTAATCAAAAGAGAAGAAGCAATCTTGCTTGCAAAGCAATAAGTTAACACAACATACTGTAGTGAAGATGCTCAAAAACTACTGAAAAGACATGCTGTTAAAACCTTGAGCTGATGGTTCTTTTCAGGGAGGTAGAACACACATCATTCTTGCAATGATGTTCATGAAAACATGTTAAGAAAACAGCTCCAATTCAAACACAAAAGCACACCCAGGAAAGTACAGAAAATACATTTCATAATGTGGTTGCTGATTTTAGGTACTAGAGAGCATGTCATTTTGATACAAGTCATTTCAGGATCTCTGGTCCAAGAAACAGGGCCTCTTGGATAAGTTTCATTTTGAATAGCTCAAAAAAAGCATTAACATTTAGGTCACGTATCAGATCGCCTCGCCAGAATGAAGCATGCCATGTTTTGAGGAGCTTCTCTGGTACTGAAGAATCACACCATAAGTACTGTTAGCCATTAGAAGATAACACTCTTAATGGACATATTCAGTAATTTCCACTATATGGTAAACTCTTAACTACACCATAATACACCCAAATTAATTCATGCTAATTTGATACAAAGTTTTCAATTTCCTTTAAATGTGGAATAATATTACAGATCTTAACAAGGGACATGATATCCAATGACATCATTACAGTATCACCAGTAAAAAGTTTACTGACTTCTCTAGAGACATGACAACACTCACAAAATACTATCAGACTATAACTAATTCATTGGCCACAAAATGCAGCTGGCAAACATGAGGAGTACTTCCAACCTTAACAATACTTTGCTGAATTCCATTAGACAGGTAAAAGAGTGAGTCCAAACAGAAGTCACTGACAGTAATATTGCTGTGACATGAAAAGATGTTTGAAACGTTCAGCGACATCATGGTTTATGCTATTACAAGAATAAAGATAAAATTATCATGATAATATAGTTCTAAATTGTACTTAATTAAATAAATGTACAAGTATCTAAGCATGTAAATATGTAAAATGTTGCTACATTTTACATTTAATGTTACTACATTACTACATGTAAAATGTCTTCACAGAAAGATCATTTCTCTACTGTAGCATAAACAGGTTTTATAGATTTAATTTCTGATAGTCAGAAATCATAGTTCATTTCTTCTGTAAGCACAGAGGATTAGAAACATGCTGATATTTTCAAATAGAGAAATAATTGTCTAACAAAACACAGGGGAGGGAATTGCTAAAAAAAAATGTCAGTGATATGAGAATACAGATTTATTCCAGGCTTACCTGAATTCCCTACAGAGAAGAGGATATATAAGGCGTTTATATGCATCCTCTACAGAACTCCGTAGTAGCCTCATAAAGTCTGGTTTTAAAAATTGCTTTGGTTTCCATCTGCAAAAGATTGGAAGAAAAATAAAAAATATTTTAAGAACACATGCAAACAACTAGATAAAAAAAGAACTTTCCAGAAAGGCTTCTACATTGTTAAATCCTATAAACTGCAGAATTACTACAATAATTAGGCAACTAAATCATGAGTCAAATATGAAAGGAATGAGAAGTTGCTCATAGTTCTAATACCATACAAGGGACAGGCTTATCTTTTCTTAGGTTTTAGAACACAATAATGGTTTATGTTTTAAAGAAAACAAAAAAAAAAGCATTCTCCACTTTGAGAAGTCAAAGCTCATTGTAACTGAACAAAACTTGGTTCCATATTACCTTTAGGGTTGCATTATTTGCTAGTCCTCATTACATCAGAAAAAAAATTCCTAAACATCCTCTGTGATTGTCACTGCAGAATGACTTAAAAAAAGGCAACTATGGACAGATAGAGATTAAGGAGCTAAACTAATGCCAATAAATGAAACCCAATTCAAATTTCACTTGGAATGCACTGAGTATCTCTATTCAACTTCTAAATGAATTCCTACTAATTTTGCAGCAGTTCTTAAACCACAGAAACCAAAAAACTTTAAAAATGTTTTTCTCTTTTACCTGCTACAAATACATTTGAAGTGTAAATAATAATATAGGAAAAGGGAAAATTGAATCAACAATGCCAAACAAAAATAAGCCTGTTTTCCAGCTTCTTCTAAGCCAAACTCTTTGAAGCCTTGAACTCTTTTCTAGGTAGACTGCATGGTAACTATATAACTGTAACAACAAGTACTTCAAATTTTGCTGTAAAATACACCTCACTCTCAAAGCTTCCTAGATATTTAATCCATTGATCTTTTTGTTGAGGGCAAAGTTCCATGAAGGAGGGTGTGGGGAGATGTGGGTTAGGGTGGGTTTGTGAGTCCTTGAACAAGCAGAACTGACTCATTGAGACGATCCACCCTGTGAGAAGAGATTGAGGGGAAGGAGAAGCAACCAGATATATTATACTCAAACAGAAACATACTACTGACATTTTCTATTAAAAGTCCACCTGTTTTTTATTAGTTTTAAAAATACTGATAACACTCAGTTTTCTTCACTTATTGTATTATTCAATGTGCCTGGGTCCCAAACTGTGATGGGAGATACCCATACATATTTTTAAAAACCCGTGCAGGTTCTCTAAATTTATTGTTTGGATGGCTTAAATGAAACATGCAAGAATTATGGTCATAACGTGTCCAGCTGCAGTAAAAACAGAACTGAATTTTACTTTTGATCTTGTTTGCTTGTAGCCACTCAAATACTGAGAATTCAAAACTGCTCCTACCCAGACAGCTTTTCAGTTGTCTAAGGGGATCTGCAACTTCCTGAAACAGCTTTTCTAAGTGTCTGTGCATATAATAGCTGAGAAATGTGTGACAGAGTCAACCCTGCATTGAGCAGAGAGCCACAGGAACAGAATTAAGCTCACCATTCAGTTTTACAACATTCAGGGCTGTAATTCAGTGCTTAGCCACATGACCTCACCACTTTGCCAACAGTTTTTGCAAATAGCTCTATCATACATATTTGTAACTAGAGATCTTTCCACACCTTCATAAAACTGAGAAAGGCTTTAAATCCTCTTATTACCATCACATTCTATAAACATGAAGGTTTTGCAGGTGCAAGTATGACTAACATCCTCAGCACAAATTAGAATCAATTTGGAAACCTGGCAGCTGTTTAGCCCTCTCCTCCATCCATTAAAGCCAGTTAAACTCTGTAAATGGGTTATCACAATAGATATTTTTATTACCTGCCTATACATAAATAAAAATTTAGGCAACATTCTGCTAGAAGTTGTTGCAAATGAGAGAACATTCAAACAGCAAGTTCAATCATAGCAAATACTGAGTTTAAAGATTTCAATACTTCTTGAAAGAAAAGAAAAAATCACTTTGCTGCAAAAACACAAAGCAAAATCACGTGCGTATATTTTTAAAGATCATCACAGCCTAGCTAAGCCTCCCTCTAAGAACAGATTTTTTCTTGATTATTTAATCAAGATCTAGCTTTTGAAGCCAAATTTTAAAAAAGCTCCATACAAACAGTATCGTCTTACTCTGATCATCAGCTCTCCATGTCCTAGTGCTCACAACAAACATAGGGACCACAACAGACATAAATGGCTTAGACTACTGAGACACCAGAGGGTGGAACTACACATAAACAGAATGAACAGAGCCCACGTTAAAAATCACCAGTACTGATTAATAACTGTTCCAGGAAGAGCCCAGCAAGGCTTTTAGACCTGAAGGACAAACAGCAGAGCTTTGTGCTCCTCTAAGACTTTAAATAAAACATGTACCAAGTTGGTAACCACAGACAAAGCAAGTCTTTAAGGCCTGTACCATGGACTTTACACAGGATCTGAGATATTTGACTGGAAACTTAAAAAACATCATCAAACATCAAATTTCATTTCCAAGGCGGCAATTCCACTTGGGAACAAACTCTCACCCCATCTCACTTGGGAACAACTCCATGTTGTTTCTACACTCAAAGCCAGCTAACCAGCCCCTCTCTGGCTCTCTCACTGATCACTTTTCTCTGTTCAATTTCACAAAAAAAGTCTTTGGGACCACTAGAATTCCAGTGTTAATGGAAGTAGGTTCACTGTCAAACCACACAGATGCCATTTTTTGGAGAAAAATACAATCCACAGAGCCAGGCATAAGGATATTCCTGAATTTTCTACACAAACCCAAATTGCAAGGAAACAGATGCTTATATAGGCTAATAAACACTCTGAACTTGCAAAAAAAGGAACAATATTCTTAGACAGCATCTACACAGAGCTCAACGCAATAAGGAACTCTAGTCTTCCAAACTCACTTTCTACTGCAGGAGTACCTAATGCTAAAAAATTTGTCTCAGAAGAATACAAACAGTTCAGAACATTTGCTACTAATCCACTGGGCAGTAGGTGATGCTGTCTTCTGGCTAAAATACTGGCCAAATTCTGTAGCAAGCTGGCATTTCTGGTTCTGCAACTGATTGTGTGTGTGATTTCTAGCAAATTGATTAATATCTTTGCAAAGTTTTGAAACCATTGACTCAAAAATAAGTTCTTAACCTTCTGGTCTTACCAGCAAATCAATGCAATGAAAATAATGCAAATTCCACCCCTGGACAACCATTTCAAAGCTTGCAGGGCAGATTACACATTTACTATTTGTTAGTTTGATAACACAGTTGTCAATCTCAGGAGGAAGATCAGAATCTGTCCTTGATGTTAATGCACAAAGATTAAAACCATTCCTTCAGAAGTTTTATAATGGTGGGAAAGTGTCCTTAAATAGCAAAAAGCCATAAGCAGATATAGCCTTATAAGTGCTAAATATTAATAAGTATTCACTCCCAAGGTCAATATTCTTCTTATCCCAGCATGACTCACAAAAGGGTAACCAACCAAAAATATCTCAATTTACATCCCACTTTTATTTGTGTAGCAGTGACAAGCTGTTCCATTATCTGTGGTCCACAGTGCTTCCAAATTCTATCATAGATGCAGTAAAAGCAAAACTGACAGCTATGTTCTGCTTACAGAATATACAGCTGGAAGGGAGGACAGAAATTCTGTTACAGGTACTAAAAGTAGAAAGAAACAGGTGTGTTTGTGACTCCTGATACTTTCCTGGAAACAAAGAAGGTTACTTAGAACAATATGATCTAAGAGCAACAGTATCTGGCCGAAAAATACTTTATTACTTTCAGAGCCCTATTCTTCCCTTTCAGAGAGAAACAGCCCTATTAAATTTCTACAGTGAAAAGGAACATTTTTACCACATCCATTTCTTGGACTTGTTGTGAAAACAAAATACATGCTAAAGCAGTACCACTGTATTCAGTTTCATACATTAAAACGTGCAATTCTTCCTATTTTTCTTCCCTCTTTTTGGTTATCCATTCCTAGGATGCAAAGGAAGGAGTTTCTAAGACAGGACCAGAAAAATGCCCAATATTTTAAACTAGTGAAAAAAAGAAAGTAATTTTTTATACATGCAAGGAAGATGCACTGTTTGGATCATAATATTCTCCAGCAGAGAACATCAAGGTACAGTTTCCAAGAAAAAAACTGACAGATATTGCACAAAACACATATCGTTAACCTAAACTTCTGCAAAAGACCTTGAAAATTATGCAATACTAAGCATCTCACTATAGGGTTAAAAATCCCAGACAACTTGTATGAACAAATCAGCAAGAAAGAAAAGAACCTGGATTTTACAGTCCAGTTTTCTAACTTAAAAAGAGATCAAAATGCAAGAGATGGTTCACACAATATGTGAGAGATATGCACTGAAAGCAGTTACATTTATGTTAGTCTGTTAAATCCATTAAGTTCTTTTTAAACATGTAATTCCTTACATTTCTGAAACTTGAAGTTATGTACTTCACAGACCTAAGATTCTTACATAGCCCTGTTTAATCATTGCAATTGGGCATAAGAAGGTATTTTTTGAAGTTTGGAGTATACTTTATTGGATTCTACAAAGTCCTTTCAGTAAAGGCTACTGGATGTGATGCATATTACAATTTAAAAATATATTCACATTTCATCAGCTTTTGCATATGTTTAAAAAAAATTCAAATTCAACTGCTTGAGGAATGGTGCCAGAACTTGCAAATATAGCCCAAGGCATGATCTTTTCAGCATAATGCTACAGCAGTTGGAAATACAGAGTAAGAATTATCCACTTGCTAATTTCATCTAATGTAATAAATATTTCTTTAATTTGTTCCCTTAATGTAACAAGACATATGAGATACACTTGAGTATGCAGCTGTCTATAGAAAAAAGAGATTTCTGTAAGAATATGTATCCATGCAGACCTTTCATTGACACACCACCAACAGAATTCATTCTTCACCCCGTCAGGAATGTTGACCTTCACTGTCAGGATCTTCAGATTTTCCCCTCGGTTAATGGCCAGAATCTGAGTGCAAACATAAATGGCAGAGACAGATGACACACAAAATATCCAAAAGATAAACTTATCAACATTTGTGTACGCACTTGCTTGACATTCTGTAGCAAATCAGGATGGTGGTACAGTAAATCAGTTCATAACGAACAAGAATGTACAGATAACATCCACAATTTAAACACAAATTAAATCATGCCATGGCATAACAAACACATTTTTCCTGGAGTCTGCAATCTTAGGATCCAGTTTAAGATTAAGCACACTTATAATGCAAGACAGCATGAATTTTGGTGGTGGAATAATCTTATTTTATAACCCAAATTAAAACTCAAGAAATTAATCAAAGAGTGATTTCAATCAGAACTAGACCTCAGAAGTTATTTCTATACTTCAGATTGCATTTTTCTGCCCATTATTAATCCAAATTTTAAATAAGTTATGAATCACAACTTGTGACACAAAGGTGCTCAGCTTAATTTGAAAGAGGATGAATTTAGTTATTCATGCCTAATTCACAAATAGCAGACAAGGATGTAAACACTCACTCTCTTTACATTGACACTCCTGCCTCAAACCATATGCATGTACTTCTGAGTACTTAACTCCACAGTCAGGATCTAAAGCTAAGTTTGGTTGTATAGCTCTACACAGAGTTAATTCAAGACTATGACTCTACATTTAAAACCAGAACCACAAGTGGCAGATCCTGGAGGATTCTGGTGGGTAACTCTGAGTCTAATCTCACTATGGAGACACTGAATATTCACCTTAATACTACAAAATCTCACTGACCAGCAGATTTTAGAATAATATTCAGAAGCAAATAAAATGCACATCTTTAGATTTCCTTTTTTCCTTCTCAAGTATTTTAAAGTAGAAAAATACCAAAAAAAAAAGAAACCCGCTGGAAGCTGACATTCCTGTATGACTACACATGTTGCTATATGTAGCAGGCCCTGAGCACTGTCACAACAGAGCATTCTGTGTCAATCATGAACTTTAATTCAATCACTAGCTAACTCAGACATGTCACATATGTTAAATACAATGGTTTAAAATGACTCCAGGACATAGGACCAATTTATATTCCTCAGCCTTACTGCTCCTGTGACATACCAGGCCTGACATATCATTGAACAACAAAGCTAATAATAAAGATTGCATGTGAAATATTATAGCATCTGGTACCTCGACTGCCAAACCAAATGTTTTCACGTAGAAATTAGAAAGACACATTTTAACAAATCAAATGCTTTCACGTTTATTCTGACTTTACTTTTTAAAAAGAGAGAAAGCTAAATGTCAAGTTAAAACGAAATCAAAGTGATGCTCACAACAGAGAATATAAGTGATAGAATTATAATGTCATCATTCAGCATGCTGTCAGCAGGGTCAATATTTGCATCACATTTTGTTACCTGGCACTACATCTGCACAATGTGTCAGTCACTTGAACTTAAACCAGCTGTTAACGCAGTCACCAATATTATTTATATTTTTCACTCTCAAACAATCTGCCAATCCTGTTCTAAGTGATACATTCAAAGAATAATCATCCAATAAATGCTCAGTTAAGAATGGAATTATTTAATTTCGCCCTCGAATATAATAAAGCTCTTTTTGTTTAGTTTGTTTTTTTAATTAACAGGTTAAAATCTGGCTATTCTAGTCACAAAGCAGTCTTCACTTCTGGAAAAAGACTGTTTTTATATGAGATTGGAACAGATCCAGGGCAAGGGTTGTTAGAAACAACATACATTTTTCAGAGAAAGCAAGAACAACAATATGATCCAGTCACAAGATTCATCAAATTATTCTGTTTATCCTAAAAACACAACATGCTTCATTTTGCACAACTCTTATATGTTGCATATTGACTTAAACTCACAGAATAAGTTCTGTATACTTTGCCAAGGACTTTAAATTCCAATTCCTTTTTAAGTATGAGATTGAAAATAGAGCATTTGCCTCAAATGTTACACTTAATTCATGAATTCTTTTCCTCCCACTATTTCAGTCATCTCCAAATAAAGGAACACAACCCCAAGGCGTACACAAACACTAAACTGTTTACAATTAGTCAAAAACTCAAACTCTTGAAAGATTTTTTTTTTTCTTAGTTATAACTGTGTTGGTATTGCTTCTCAGCTATGTCCTAGGAGTCCAGTCAGGTTCTCCTTGCTGCCAAAGGAAGAAGCTGTGACTGAACCTCCCACTAGCAAAATGTTCCAGCTGGAAACATCCACAGGGTATCTGACCATGTCAAAATCTGGAGTCAGCTTTTAAAGCTGACTAAAACAAAGTTTTTTTCTCATTACAGTTTTAGTATTTTAACTTTTCCAAACAACCTGACTCCACACCAGTCTTGATTACTTCAGGTCTCAAACAAGACAAAATGTCACGTCTCAGAAAAGAAAATGACAGTGGCACAGGAAGGAGCCCAGACCTTCAGCAGGACCAAGCTGCAGCACAGCTTGCTGCACAGCCCCTAATCTCACTGCAACACGTGCTGCACGGCACACTCACAGCTGCCAGGGCTGTGGTCACAAAGGCACAGCCTGTTTTCCTACAGGTGACATGCCAGGCTACTGTGCATCCCCTACACTCACATCTAAGCCAGAGCAGAGTTAGGCTTGTACCAGGCCTGTAGGATCACTTGCACTTCCATACTCCGGTGATGACAAGTTGAAGTGCAGGATTTTATGGAATCTTGTGTTTGCAACTCTATGAAGAGGAGATTTAAAGCTGACTTCTGCCTCTGCCTAAAGGCATCCAGAACACTTGTCTGTATGCAGCCATGAAAGCAGCTGAGAAGGTCTTCAAAGCAGTAAGTTTTACAACTGTTCCTCAAACACACCCATTTAACATAAAGTTCTTGGGGATTAGTAAATTATATAAATCACTCTGGGGTTCAGGCTTTCCTATATCTTTTCCAGGTATAAGCTTCTTTTAATAATCTTGAGCCAAACCAGAGAACGCCTTCTCTTGAAGACATCTTGAACTCTATTCTTAAAGAAAATATTTTTGCCAGTTTTTAAATGCACAAAGGAACTATCTCTCCACAGTCTTAGGTGAAGGAAAAAATAAAGACTTAAGTATTGAAAAGGATGGTCATAACCCAAGAAAATAACAACATTAAAAAATGGCAATTTGCATCAGTAGGGGAAAAAAATAAAGATGAGAAAATGAAGATGAGAAAGACTTTCAAGAGTACAATACCAGGGTTTAAGCTTAATGAAGAAATGCCAGATAAAGAGGGAAAAAAACCAACTTTCTCCTTACTTCATTATCAAAATACAAAAGGGAGAAAGATAGAAACTGAGAAAAGAAGAAAACCCAAGAACTAAAAACAGACATGAAAAGTTACAGTATATTTACAATACAGCAGATTTTACATGTTGCTTCAGAAACTGTCCTAAAATACATTTTTTGCTCAACCAGTGCAGAGAGCCCTGTCACACCTTGAGCCTTGAAATCTCACTGAAGCAGAAGCAACTCACACTTTTACAGTTCACAATACAGAAATATTCAATGTATTAGAATAGCTGATAGCAGAAATAAACAGATAAGAGGTAGCATGTAAGTGTGCAAAACTATCCTGTGATTACAGGAGTGCCAGCTGCAAAATCAGTGCTTATTCTTTTCTGAAGAGCCAGAACAGGAAAAGAAAGAGGTATTGAGATTAGCAGCAGGCACAGGAAAGAATAAACCAAAGCAGATTGAGCTAATTGTAACATCAAAGAGACAAACTAAGGACACACCCTGGATAAAAAACAGGGCAGCCACATAACCAAAGTGCTGACCAGGTTTGGGAAACACAGTTTTTAGCCCTCACTGTAGCTAAGCAACAGCTTTCCTTACGTAAAAAAGGATGCCTTGAACAAGAACTAAATGATACGATCATCCCAGGAAACACTTATGCAACTTGTACTGAGTGAACATCGCGGTATTCACCACTGTGAGAGCAGGTAAAACCAAACACTCTTTCCCAGCTCAAGTAATCCTTCAACAAAAAAGGACACAAAAGAATCCATACATCATAACATGATGAATCCACCAATCTTTGTCAATGTCACCACAGTAGCCAATAGATTGCTCTATCAACTCTTCCCAACCCTCTAGAAGCAACTTTTCACCAGATAACTATCAATATAAGGAGAATAAATGTTCATGGTTATTACAAAGAGAAAAACCACAGGTACTTCTTCAAACAATAGAACAGCCTATTGAAATCAACAGTAGCTATTTAGTCTTTCACCTAACACCTTTCATATTGGAAAGGAGAAAAACAGCTTAAAAATTAGCCTATCCAGGTTATGAATTTTTTAAATAATAAATTAATCCCTAATTAATTCAAAATACTCTGGTTTAAAACAGAAAGCACAGAAGAAAATGAGAGCATATCAGAGTCTTCTAAAGGAAAAGGACATTTGTAGTTAGAAGCATGTAAGTGGTCTGTCTTCTATGATATATGGTTGGTTTTGGGTTTGGGATTATCAATTGGTTTTTTCAATTGGTTTTTGTTGGGTTTGTTTTGTTTTTTTTTAAGCTCGGTGACTGTAAATAAAACAAGAGAATTCACTTGGTGATTAGTTGTGAATTAGTGCAGAGGTCTTGACAGTTGCACTGAGTGCATCACAATTCTGCCTTTGAACTTCACTAACAGGGGTAGCCTAGCTGTCAAGCCATCAGCTTCTCCCTGTTTGCTTCAGCCCTCCTTTCTTTATCTGGTTATATAAATCTAAACTTGGGGCTTAGGATAACCGAACATGGTCCACAAAAGAAAAAAATGATGCCTTGCAAAACAAACTCATTTTTGGGGTACTAAATAGCAGTCCTTTGCTCTGTTTCTTAAAACAGAGATCAAGAGCTTATTTCTGCATTTCAAGAATTTAAGAATTTGAAAGCCTTTAATACCTCTGATAACTGTAAAGAAAAAGAAAGTATCTTTAGAATTAGTTTTAAGCAACACAATTCAAAACCAAAGCAACATTTACTACAGTTAAAATTCTAAGAAAAAAACATGAAAATTTCAAGGTTTACCTGATGATGTTGAATATTCTTTATATTACAAGAAAACTCATGGTACAGTTGGAATTTATTGATATCTTTTTCATTTCCATTTTTGGATGACACTTTTGCCAATGTCGACTGGATGGAAATGTACCTTTGCTGGCATCTGAATAGAAGAAAATCAGATATTTATATCTATGTTTATAAAAATATTTCTATTTTATATAATATTATAAAAATATTTATATTTTAGCATGAAACTTGGAACAAGTCATTACTGCATAGATCAAATAAAAAATAAGCTTGGAGTCTACTCAATTACAAGTGCTGCTAACTGTAATTACCTGGAGAAGTGGATGACATAACTTCATGCTGAGGTGACAATGTGTACTGACTTTAATACACCAAGAGAAGACAGTCAAGCAGGAAAAACCGCTCACAGCCCTCCTCCTCAAAGGAATGCAAACTCAAAAGCCACCACCTGCACTTCAGTCATGGGTTAAATTTCACATAACAAATTTTGGGAAGTTGCAAAAAAATGGCAGTCCATGCTCCTTGTGATTATCATACATACAACACACTTCAGATGAACAGGATTCATCTGTAGAGCCCTGAGATTCAACTAAGGAATTTCCAGTGGTCAAAACAATGAAAGTGACAGTCAGGTAGTGACAGCACATCCCTTACAAAACAAACTCCCCCCTCACTGAAATTATCACACTGCTGTTTCAAAGCAACTCTGCACATTCCTAAGGTGGTGCATGGTCTCTGATAACTCTCTTGCACACAGCAGACAAAATGAAATAACAAGTGACTATTGCCTTGTCATACCAACTCCCCAGACATGACAACACTGAAATCAGGTAATTTAAGAAAACTTTAATTCAGCTAACACAATTAAAGATCAGTAAGTCCTGCTTTAAAAACAAGTCATATTTGTTTGCCTTATTGGCTACCAATGCCAAAATCACCCATCACTGCACACTAGTTACACTGACTGGTGTCAGGTCAGCTATTGGAACAAGAGCTTAAGCAGATTCACTTCTGAAGAGTTACAGCTTGAAGAAAGAACAAAGAGGGAAAACTCCCTCATGGGTCACTAACTGCAAGGGAGACCTGCTATTCACAGGGCAGAGCACAGGCTTTTTCATTCTTTGGGAGTTACAGCACCACAGCATGCTCACAGCAGACCTCTACTGCACTGACAGCCAGAAGGGCTGATGAACACACACAGGAACAGCCCGAAATCCATCTCACAGGAACACTGTTTTCACATCATTAACAAAAAGTCCTGTATCTGCCACTAGGAGACTGGGTTTTACCATGTAAGCAAAAAAGTTTAGAAAGTAAGAGTGAAACTTACAATTTCCTGATGAAATCCAGTGCATCTTTATCTTTAGCAAATATGTCTGCTAAAATATGCTGCACTCCAGCCTCTACTTCCTGGATATTTGCAAGCCCTTAGAAGAAAAACAATTATAGAATATGCAATCACTATAATATACAGTTAATAATTACAGAAAAAAACTAATAAAATTACTTTACACAACTGCACAAGTATTAAGAAAATATATGCAAGCTGAAAGGAAACTGATTAAAGGTATCTGACTGACTCGCAAAGATTTCAAGGAATCCTAATTCATTAAAATTTTTATCAACTAAAGCTTCCTTTCCAAAACATCTGAAATTATATTTTTAATGAGCCTGAAGTGACCAATGCATTATTTTAAGTCAAAATTATATTAAAATTAGAGAATTTTTTTTTTACTTGGATGCAAACAGATCTTGACATTTGGGATGTAAATAGAGCAATAGTAAAATTGGATATTTAAATATAATTTTTGAAAAAACTAAATATAATTTTTGAGTTTTTAATAAAATGAGCAACTGCAGCAGAAGTCTACATATTTTGCTACCGGTATGAAAACTGCCTAAATCCTTTGCAGGTAATCCTGTCTTTTCTCTGTGGAATAGTTTTATATTTCCATTGCATTGTAGCAGGAGTTTGCACAACAATACTTTTGAGGTCAGGATACCATCAACCTCTCCTGTCAAACACTGAAGTTATAAAATGTCTTCAAAGACATAAGTCTTTGAAGACATAAGATGGAGTTATAAATGTCTTCATATCTCTGGAGAGATAACAGAATCATTAGTTCATTTCCAACACACAGAACCCATTCTTTCCTTCAAATGGCCAAAAGAAGGACATAATTCTCCTTAGCAAAGGGATTGAATTAGACCAGAAGCAGAGATAATGAAATAAAACAGACATCTTGTATCTTAATTTGATATATCTAGCTCTGCTTCTAGCAAAAGTCAGTAATGAATGCCTCAGACCAAACAGCAAGAATCCTAAAGCAGGCAGATGCAGCATTAACTGTCTCTGTCTCTGCAACACATGCTGCTGTTCACTCTGCTGCCTAATGGACAGCTTTATTTACACTATTTTAACAGCTTGCACAGCTTTACCTATTCATTGAACCCAGAACCCTGCTTCTGATTAGGATATAAAGTTACACACTAGAAAGAAATTTATCTTGCCCCTTTTTAAGACAAGGATGCTAAACTTACCTGCCAGAAAGAAAAAAAAAAAAGTGAGAATAGGAATACATTATTAAATGCCTAAACTTATCAGAAGTTGTAAATTTTGGATCCTTACATCTATGAGTTACTATTCCTTACAGTAGAACTGATGTCAGAATAAAAGCTAAGGGAATCTGAAGACATGCATCATGGTGAACACAGACTGAGGCACTCGGGTAGATTATCTGAATGAGACAGCACAGGCCCAAACAAGTCAGAATTTGAGAAATAATCAGAAAGTTCCCATTCAACAAGCACCACTCACAGAGGCACTTTACTGTGTCCACCAGCACATGCTTGTGTAATTAGAGACATTTTTGACTATGCATACAACTGAAAAGAAGAACAAAGTTTTCTTGTTAGCCTGCTTCTTGAACTTTCCAATGTCAGGCCTTGAAACATGAACTGCTGTTTTTATTTCAGTTTATTTTTAGGATAAGTTAAAAAACACTGAGAATTTAAAAGAACCATAAAATATTAAGATTTCATAAAAACTTTTCTGTACTGCAAATGGCTCATTCCTTAAAAAAAAAAAAAAAAGAAAACAACAAAACCACTCTGATCTCAAGTTGTATATAAGCTGTCAAACTGGCTCCCAAAGTGATAAAAGTGACCCAGTTCATAGATGTAGCTAACTTCTTATGTCTTTCAAAGGCAGACCATTATATAAACCTGAGCAGCATTATTTTTAGCACAGAATTGAAAATAGGTGTACTGGTTTCCAAAAACTAATGTTTTTGGTGCAACAAACAGCATCTCCTTTTGAAAATACTCTAAATAATTTATCTGAAGTTTCACAGAGATTTTTTTTTTGGCTCTTTAGACTGCACCACAATAGTCAGATATATGGCTACAATATTACTTCATACAATACTGTTGTATGAAGTAATGACATATGCTGAAATGCAGTAATTTAATAACCAGAATATTTGCTAACTGATTTTCATTGCAAAATTGGCAGAATTTTATAAGTAATACTTAAATAAACTGAAGTGGGAAAAGTAAGAGCCAGCCTTACTAAGGAGGATCAGTATCCTTTTGCTGAAATTCAAAAAGTACATGTTGGGGCAGGGAAGAATAGAAATACATGTCTATTTTAACATAACAGAGAGGGCTGCAGCCATCTTCACATTTTATTGTCAGAGATTGCCCCCTACAGATCCACCCATAACTGCATTCACAAAGACACACAATTCTGCAATCTATACATAACAATCGTGCTGTTACAAGTTCTTGCGCAAATTACAGAAATTACATCTTCTCCAGTCCCTACTGTCATTCTGACACAACCCCCCCTGCTCACTCCCAATCCCCTAGGCCAGTTTTCATTAAGATATGCTTTGCTGGGTGACATTTCCTTCTGCACAGACTATGAGCATAAACCTCTCGTACAATCAGCATTGAATCTTCAGGAATACAAGTAGAACAATGGAAAGGTCTCAAGTGTGTGCTGTGGCTCCCTCTCTCTTACCAATAAATACAGATGTCAATAGAAAGTCTCCAGATTTATGTCATTTCTTTACCACAGTTATTACTATTTGCAATACAAAGAGAGAAGAAAGGTTGAAGAAGAGACATTAAATGTGTTAGCAGGTTGAAGAAGAGACATTAAATGTGTTAGCATGTTATCACATGTTGCTAAAAGCACTGCTGAATTTCAAGTAGTTGCCTAACTTCCAGCAACATCAGAACCATTAAGGTAATTTCCCTCTCAAAATATTTTCAGACATTTAGAACATTACTGGTCAAAGAAGCACAGCACTTACCTTTGGTGTTGGGTCTAATGTAAGAAAAGAGATTGAGTTCCACAGGATTCTGCAGGAGGGAGAGAGCAGCAGGTTCTAATCCCAACTGCTTGGCCCTCTGGGCTTTGGTGCCTTTACTCCCAGTTTTATAAGGGGCAGACTTATAACAAAAAGAACAAACAAAAGAAAACCAGTTATTAAAAAGCAGCAAAGTATTTCAATCATGCTATGCACTTGATATTATGCACCATTCAGTAATGCAATAAAGATTACATTTAAACTAAGGTTGATCTAGAAATGACTAGAGTACTGACCACATGGTCTAATTCTTCCAAAGTTCTACAATTTAGCAATCCTTTTAAAAGGCAACTGGATAACTTTCCTTCTTTCTTCAACTTCTGTATCATTGTGTGTGTCTTCTTTGCAACGGTACTAAAACACAAGAGATTAACGTTAACAGTTACATTTCACAGTGACCTTGTCCATTACCATTTCCAGGGGTTTCAGAGAGTTTCAGCAGTGTATCTCATGTTAACCTTCAACAAACCAAGTTGATAATTTAAAAGTTTCTAACCATTTTTCTCTCTCTTCAGGTTGTTTAAAACTGTGTCAAAATATCCTGTGGTAGTTCTAAGAAAAATCATCAAGTAACACTAATAGTAATTACTGCTCCACGCATTTCTGTAATACTACTGGCCTGGAAGCCAAATAAAAAGGCCCTAGAATAAATCCACACTGATGATACAAGATACAGATACAATTTACAGATACAATTCATATCAAAACAGTTCTGCGGCATCAAGCACAGGCTACCAGATTTAAACTCCTTGGTCTTCAGTAAGGTACATGGGAGCACCTGCAAGCAGCAGAGGTATTTTGTTATTATTTAACTACTTGTTAAGACAAGAACTGTCTCAGGCCACCTTCCCTCCTTGGAAATGATCTCTTGGTAGGGGATAGCAGGGAGTACAAGGAGGACAACACCAAGCTGACAGAACAGCTGACCAGTCTGTTCCCTTGCCATCTCAAGAACACAGGGTCACTCAAAAGGTGGAACAAAAGCAGTCTCATCCATTGCCAGAAGCTTTGCTGATCATTTCTTTCCTGCAGTGATCTGGGATAGTTCAACCTCATCTGCTGGTACACTCCAATCTAAGAAGGGCTCTTCACTAGAAGCTTCCTGATCCAAGCAGGGTGCCAAGGGTTCCTAATGATTCTTTTTCTAAGAGTGGAGCTTCCATTTCATCATGCTACATATTTCTAGCAACTATTAACCATTCTTCAAGTACAAGTTTTTCTGTGCAGTTTTAATAAACTGCAAAGAAATTAAGATATTCATTTTTCTCTGGCAATTAACCATTCTAGATTTCTCGCTCCTTAGAGCAAAAAGCAAAAACAAAGACCCAATCTCCCAAAGACCTAAAAAAACCCCAGACAGGTATCGAGCAGTTTTAAACTATTTTCTTGATTAGTTCCTTTACTTTATTAGTTGAAGTGTGTGCAAGGAGGCAGAACAAGGGACACAGGAGCAGCAGGGATTGGTACTCACCTCCACCCAGCTCCCTTCCCGTGCTGCTGCCTCACTTACCGCAGCTCCTCCAGGGCGTGCTGCACCTCCCGCAGGGCGTCGGCCTCCAGGTTATTGACGAGCTCCTTGCGGTAGCGAGCGATGAAAGGAATCGTGTTTTCCTCTTGAAAGAGCCAGATCAAGTTGGCACACACCCATGGTTCAACGTTTGTTGTTTCTGACAAGGCCTGGCAAAGGGGAGAAAAAAGCCCAAACACAACAACCAAACACACTTAAGAGAGATGGTAGATTGCTTTCAACAGCCTCTCATTCAGCATGCAAAACCACTCCCAAAACATTGCACTGGCCAGCAGACACTACTGTCCTCCCCAAGACAGGATGTCAGGCATCCAGCCACCACACCCAGCATTTCACCAAAAATACAGCAACCGATGTTTCCAGAAACTTGTAACCACAGTAAAAGATGCAGGAAGCAGCACCTCCTGGGAAGAAGAAAAAAAGAAAAAAAAAAAAAAAGAAAAAAAAAACAACCAAGGGGAAAAAAATCACACCAAAATTATAAAACAAAGCAGAAACAGCAGCTTATGCTGTTATGTGTCTGTACACAGCAACTCAGAAAACCTGGAATTTTTTTAAAGCCAACACTGACATACCTCATGGTTCAGCTAAACAAACAAAACCCACAAAGCCAGAGCTGATCCAAATCCCACTCAACCAGTAACAGGAAACTAGCAATACTACTGCCAGTGTCAAGACAAACCAAGCCTTGCAAAGTTAAACATGATTTTGTACAAATTGAGCTTTCTAAAGTTATAGGGTATCAAAATGGAATCACTGACACTCTATGCAAGTGGCTTATCTCAGTAACATGGTAACCAAGAAGATCTGTTTGCACTTCACTACAGCAGATACCCTACCTAGAGGGCTGACACAAAAGCCTTTCAAAAGTTTCCTTCAGAAGCCTAAAAATGTAACACCTGCACAATCACATTCACTCCTTTTACAGCACACATAAGGATCAAATTATCCATATGTATTTCCAGGAATATGTGAGAAAACCCGCAAAATTTTACATCTTTGTTAAGCAGACTGTACTAAGGATGATGAATACAATATGTCCTATCTATTCCCATTCTATTCATATTAAAATCTTCCATGATCACACCCAGGCTTCCAGCACAAGAGCCATGCTAAAACTGCCTCCACCTGAACGGCTTCAAAGTTAAAACCCTACAAAAACAAAGATGGTATCTCCCTTGTTGTCACTGCTGTGTGAGTAATGCAAATCTCCTTCCTTAATAGAACCATAAATTGATAAACACTCTCAAATGAGTCTCTGCAACTTAATGATCCACACTGACTAAATACTAAGTTGTAAAACTGCACACAAACATCCCAAATCTGTCAGCATCCCTTCCTATGGGAGCTTCAGTTGTGTGCATCCACCAAAAACCCCATGTGCTCATACAGGAGAACCACGCAAACGGTTACAGGCAAGCTTTGTTCTAAGGACACCCAAAGTCACACATCTTAGGATGATGTAAAAGTTTGACAGTTACCAACCAACACCTATATTTACACACATTTTATGATATCCTAAGTAGAGGTTAAATGACAATTTCAGAAATTGTACATTAAGATTGTAAGGCTAATTATGCAGGAAATAATTTCATTGGTATCTCAGAAAAGGAAAAAGTCTCATACCTGTACAATATCCCAGTTCATTTCAAATTCTTCTTTTATTTTCTTGCCTCCCAGATTTTTAACTGGCTTTCCTTCAGGACATGCATTCAACTTAATCTTTTTAGAGGGTGGTTCATCAAATGCAGACTCTTCCTCGCATTTCTCTTGTTTCACTACAGGAACACTTGTTGAGGGTTTTTCATCATTCACTGAACTGTTTTGGTTTCTCCCTTGGAATGCATTTATTTCTATTTTCTTAGGCACTTCTGGTGCTCGATTTAAACTTTTTGGTTTAGTGCCTGCATTTTCTTCCTTAGGTTTTTGAAGTTGCATTTTATTATCTTCGAGAGGTGCATTAGGGAAGGATACATCCTGCCAGAAAGACATTAGAGCCATATTAAGCACTGACTGCTACAAAGTGCTTCAACATTTCACTTCAACTCTAAAAGACTTGCTACCAGATATCGTTTTCCCAAGTAATGTCTCCGGCAGCAAAACACCAAGCCAGAAATCAAGTAACCCGAAATATATCTTGCATGGAGGAAACAATACAAACAAAGCAGACCTCTGATTAAGTTCAAATAAAATTATCCTGAAAAGAGTTTAATAGGACCTTCCTTCAGAAGACACTGACCTACAATCTTTGCTTCCATTCATGTCAAGAAAACAGGAAATAGCAGGGTAGGGAAGCACTTCTGAGGTGTTAGGTTCCCAGCATGGGAACTGGAACTGAGACCTGGTCTGCCAAGATACAGTTTAACCTTGGACAAGCCACACCTTCTTCAGTGACTTTCTGCAGAGATCATCCTCAGAAGTCAGAAGGACTGGCTTCTGTCATAATGTGATACAAAAGTATCTAATTTTCAATATAACTCTGTTCTATATTAATAACAATAAAACCGCAATCCTTACTGGGTTGAACAGCCATGCAAGGAAATGTAAGAGGCTGCTTGTTTTTGTGATACCCAAACAGTGAAAAAGTACAAGACAAAGGTGCAATACCAAAGCCAGAGAGAACAGAGGCATTTTTTTATTTACATTGTTGAAAGAGATCCAAGGAAAACCACATCCTATTATCATTGGCCAAAATTTTCAAGGAGGACCTTTTGATCATGGACACTTCAATGCAAAATAAAGCCATAATGAACATTCACAGGAGCAGTGGAATTTTATCAGCTGATGAGACTCAGGCAACCAATTCAACCAGAGTCAGAAAATCTGCTCATGCTACTTCCCAAGAGCAGCAATTCAATGTCTCTTGCTTATACTCACCATTTCCTCTTTTATTGCTACCTTCTTGACCATTTTCCTGGCCACAGTTGATCGTGGAGCAGCAGCTTTTTTAGTTTTTGCCTCAGTTTTCGTTGGCAAACGAGGTCTCCTGGCAATTTTGTTTTCTGGCTCCCATTCCTCCTCTTCCTCCTCCTCTGATTCAGAGCTCCTGAAAAACAAATGAATCAACAATATTGCTTATGAGAAGAATAAAAAAAATACATAAGTGAGCTAGTCTTGAGTGGTTTTTTGCATGAAACAAAGTGAACAGGAAAAATTAACAGAAAGGTAGAGAGACTCCACACTGCTGCAGAGCTAATAGCTTAAACAATCCACCAACTTTTATGATGTGTACACACATCGTACACACGACTCTTTGGACAAATGGCAATTCACTTGCATCCTACCTTCATTATGAGCATTAAGGAGCCCAAGTAATCTGCATTTTATAACTGAAGCTTTGTGCATGAAAACTTTTTAATCAACTTCTTAGAAACTGATTCTTGTTCTCATGCAATTGCTCATGCCTAGCATAAACCCATAAAAAATGCTAAGGAAAGAAATGATCTTACGAATTAAGAAACGAAGGTAGTTCTTCTGATGTAGGGGCTTTGGCTACACATTTCGCCCTCCTTGGTAGAGATGACATCTGAAACAGAGGAAAGAAGAGAGAAAGATAACTTGGTTGAAGCTGTATTCTCTTCAGCTCACTGTCAAATGTGCCCTAATAATGTCTTCAGCAATCATAAAAGTTTCCTCTAGAGCAAGTTTGGTTTTCTCAGTAACCAAGAATTTAGGCCACAGCAGCATACATTCAACAATCTTTTCAACTAAGCAAACAAACCAGCAGCACAACCTCTCAAACTACTTTTCTTTCACATGGAGGTAATTATTTGGCTTGCAGGTAAAGCTGTTCTAGCAAAAGGGGTACTGGTTCTCTCATTTTGTTGGGTGCCACATATAGTATGCCAGTCTTTCCTCCATCCATTTTAAAAGCATAGCAACTCAAACTAAAACCTAGTAAAGTGGGCTCATGTGTGGTTTTGATGGGACAGAACAAGGAAATTGTCCATTTTAAGCTAGATTTTTACATATAAAGACTATCTGTCACTTGTGTGCGCAATGAGAGCTATTATTTTGAATGAACTGCCCCTTGGATTATAGAAAGTGCATAAAACAACCACCAAAAGTAAAAAGGGGAGGCACACACTTTCCCCTGACCCAAGATTCATACCTACAACAGCTATATTTCAGTTAAACAGTTACAGAATTGATTGGGCCCATGAATTTCAATAATCATATTTAGTAGTCTTAGTTAAAAAATGTTAGGTATCCTCAAAATTTTATCTGCCAGAAAATAAAAACTTAGAAAGCAAAAATATCTTGTAATTTATTTCAAATACTACAAAATTCAGAAGCATATTTTACTTATATCTGGTACAATTTCATGGTAATTCACATTTTTATACCTTGACCTCTGATCCAGCCTTACCACTGCAATGGGAACCTTAAAGTCCCATGTTTGCACAATACATACCAGATAAGCATTTTCCAAAGTGACATTTAACTCAAGGGCAAAATGCCCTTTAATCCAACTTCATTCTGGCCTCTGTTCAAGCACTAGAACACACTTGTTATTAATGGCTTTCAGAAGTTTTCCTTGTAAGGCAGCACAAAAATTTAGACAATAATTTTCAGCACTGCAGTCAAAGAAGCAGTATTGAGATTCACATGAAAAAGTACCATTGGCTCACTTGCAAAGCACCTTCTTGAGCTACAGTCTTGGTCAGTAACAGGTCAGCATTTCTGTGCTGTTACATAATGTGACTGGCTGGAACACACACCTACCACAGGAAAACATAAATCTCCAAAGAACATGACAAATATTACTCACCTTATCAGCTTCCCAGGTGTCTTTTCACTGTTAGTTCTGAGACACCCCCAAAGTCATCCAGCCACTCTGCTTCTCTGCGCTCCTTTGCTCTTAGTACCTGCACAGTCATAACCACAGTTCTGAATTATTACTTATTTACTCTCATTATTTCAGAGGCATGAAAAGAATGTTTCCATTTTTATATCATACCTCAAGGTGTGAATGGGAGATACAAAAAATATTAAACACCAATTTTTTAAAGCTAGTTAACATCCAAGCCAGATGGATCCCTGATCCACTCTTTTGTACGTGCTGGGATACTTGATGCTTCTTTTCAGCTCACACAACTAGGCAGGTAGTCTTGGAAAATGATCAGTTTTTAAACACTTAACCAGCTTAAATCACTAGCCATTAAATCACTGCAAGTAAGAAGGAAAAGACCAATATACATGGTCTCTCACCTGAAGTCAGCATTGCCCCTACTGAGCAACACCACCCTAAACATCTCTGCCAGTTTGGAACACTCAGCATGGAGCATGAAAGTTCTGGTGCCTACCCAGGAGCCCAGGTAGAAGGAAAACCTCATCTGGAAGGTCCTTTTTTCTATCAGTATTTTCCCTTTCACCTCAAGTGACTGAGGGGCTCAAAATATCTCAACATTTGTGCAGTTACAGAAAGTAAGATTATGGCAAGAGCAAGGCTCATTTTTTAAAGTTAATTGCACTTCCTGATATCCAGTGACCTATCTAACTCTCCTTATCTGCAGAAGAACAGGAGAGGAGCTCCTTAGTAACTCTCTATGAACAGACAAGCTGTGGTCAGAAGTCAAAATGGAGTTCCACAGCTGAAAATAAAAGCCAACACCAAAAAAGCATATCTAAGATAAATATCAAGCATGGGGTATCACAAAGGAAAAAACACCCAAAATAATCATATTTCCACTGCAAGGTGAGGCTAAATTATAACAACCTCCCCTTTTCACAATGAATACAACAAACTAACTGTGCTTCCTATTTGTAGAAAAGAATCTTATAGCTACTACATATATACTTTTTGCTTACAAAAAAAAAAAATGAATTGGAACCCACAAAAGTACTTCTTGTTTAATTTCAAATTGCCAGACAGCTGTCTGCTGAATTTTCCTCCTGATACGCCTGTGCTGGGGTGTGCAAACACCTACATTTAATGACTAAGAAAAACAGCCCTTCTGTGATTCACTGCAGAGGGGGAGGCAGGGAAGAGGATGAAAAAGAAACAAGTCTAAATGCCACTGATGATGAGAAATAACAAATACAGAAAGCAAGCCTGCAGACAGTCCCTGAAGTAAAGCAAGAAGACTCAAGAAACAGGCAAAGGCAAACACTGTTAATTCCTCATGGAGCACCTACAACAAACACTGGCTGCTGCACTGACAGTAAGCTACTGCCAGCTACATGCTCCACTTCTGGGGGGATACAGTCCCCCAAATCCCCTACCTCGAGTGTTGAGGGAACTGGGAACAGCTTTATGCATCCTCCCACAGCATGCTGGGATCAAGCCAGTGTGAAGTTGGCCACTTATCTCCTATTATATTTTCCAGATTGACTGGTCTCAGTGAGAAAACTGCCTTTAACACTTTCTGTCAGCTCCAGTTAACTATATTCCAGTATTCCATATTCCTGTGAGAGTTGGTTTTTACCCCAAGGAAAGAAATGACAGTCCCTTCCAAATCCAGAAGAACCCCACAGCTGTGGAAGAGCCAATGACCAAACTGAAAAAGGAAGAGTAACCTATTTATACCAGTCAGGTCATTTGCCCTTCCTGTGCCTGTATTCAGTTTCGCTGTACCTTGGCACAGATGTGTCACAGATGTTCACAGTACTTGGTGTTTCCTTATCAACTGAAGGAAGCAAACACACAGTGCCCAGAATTGTGCACAAGTTATCCAGCCACTCTGGTTAGGATTTCCCCAGCTTGCCAATTATCATATTCAACTTCAACATGCTCTGCTCTAGCAGCTCTTCTCACACCTGAGGCTAGTAAACTTCTGGCCAGTAACCATCAGCTAACACACCTTTTCTTATTTTATGAACACTATCAGTGATCTTTTAATTTCTGACAATGCTGCTCTTTAAGATAAACAGTTCTTATCTCACCAACAATTTTTTACTTCCATGACCAAGCAACATGAGCTAGGCCCTGGAAACTTTGGCCTTACACCCATACTTAAGTCCCTGACTGCTGCTTCATTTCAAATTTGTGTACAGATTTGTAGATGTTCTGCTTCTCTAGGATAGGCTGAAACCTTAATGCTGAGCCTTCACACTACACCCTTGATCCTCTGCTCAAGAGAATCAAAACTCACCTGCTTGTCTATGTCCCAAATGACAGCATGAAGCATCACTGCTTGAAACACACCCCTCCATCATTAAAGCCTGGCTTCTCCACAAAACTCAGCAGTTACAGCATGTTCTTTGAAAGTACTTTCCAGGTAAAAATTAAAGAAATTCACTGAGCCATTATCCTATCTAGTGAAGAAGAGCTGAAACTATTTAAATCATTGCTACTGTAGATAAATGTATCTGCTAGGTTCACTCTACAAATAGTTTGGCATCAGTTTTGTTGCCAGCTATTTTGCTCCCACCACTTCTATCCTTTGCACCCAATGCAGAGCTTCCCATCACAATTTGGATGGCTGCAACACTTCTCCCTGCTTGTCAGCTACTCATTAAAATAAAGCTACTGTAGTTTGGGGTCAGGCTACACAAAGAATAAAGACTGGCCAAGTAGCTCTCATCCTTTACTGTACAGAATCTTAAAAAGGGTATGCACAAAACACACAGCAAAGAAATAATAATTTCTCTGGTCTCTCTCCCCAAACAGGTCTAGGCTGCACACAGAATATAAGGAGATTGAGGTTTTAAAGACCTTATTATGCTAAGGAGCAATCAAAATCTCATTTAGAGACTGTTCTTCTCTTCAATCTCCCTATTCATGCAAAGGCACAATCCATTAAAAATAATTTTCTTCTTATGTGAATCCAGATGGCATAAGCAACCATTTGCAGAAAGAGAAGTTTAATAACAGTTTAAAAGTAATTAGTTAAAAAAATTCTCACTCCCCACCACTATTTGTCCAACTCCCCCAAAAAGTCCCTGCACTAGCACACGACTCTTAAAAGTCTATCAGTAGAGCAACAATTTTCAGATTCAAAAATAGCCCTAACAGATTTTCCTACCTGAAGACACAGGATTAAAAAAAAAAAAAAAAAGAAAAACCAAAACAAAACAACAAAAACCCCATAATCAAACAACCCAAAACACCACCACCATCATAAATACACTTGGAAATTAATTTCATTTCAGTAACTGCAACAAGCCCTGTCCAGCTGAAAAGCATGCAGAAACTTCTGAATCTCTTTTCCAGTTAATCCAAAGCAACATGTTCCTTACAAAACAGGGATCCCTCTATGCAGGAAGCTCCTCAAACTTTGCTCTACAGCCTTTGCTTTTCTTTCACAAATAAACCAGCAACAATAATAGAATTTTGCAGTTTAGCTTCTTCTTAATTCTAACAGTACTAGCCAAATCAGCATTTATAACATTAAGCACCTGGAGCAGGCCAAAAAGAGCACTATACAAGTCCCATATGACAAGGGAATTCTGGGCCATTCTAAGTAGAAGCAGAATGGCTACTTCCATAATTATAAGGAGAGCCTCAACAGGTTGGTTTTGCTTGTCATTTTAAGATACCTTCACTGCAATAACATTCTAAGGAAAAGAAATATAAAAATGTGAGCATACAGTCAGCAACAATGGGAAAAGATGGTATGCAGACCAATGGAAGAGACTTGTATAGAAATCTTTCTGTCTCTGCAGATTTTTATCCTGCAGAGATAAGTCAACTGAGTTGTACTTCCAAATACAAATCCAACTTACTGTAATCCTCTTGAGGTTAAAACCTTGGAGAACTCCCAGACACTGTTGCTCAGAGAAGCTAGTGCAGATTTCCAAGCACTTTTCCTGTACAAAGCTGGTCAGGCCTGCCTGAGGAAGGAGTGGCAGAAAACAATTTAGGATCCTTCAGCACTAACTGGAAAATTACAACCACAAACAAACAGAGAGACATACAGGGTACACACATACACCAAAACAGTCCTCAAAGCTAATCAGAGAGGAAACGGTGTAAGAACCAGTAGGAACACCACCTACTGTTTTTACTTACAGAAGTATCATCAAAAAGGTAAAGCACAAAAATTGTGCCCCTAGAAGGTGCATCCTATCCCATGCCTGTTCCTATAATTAGTGGTACCACTGAAGAAAAGGAACAACCCATGTAATGCGGCACACTGCATGTGAATCAGAAGAGGTCTGCCCCAGAAAGGGAGGGCACAAACCCTTCTCATGCATTTTCCTCAATCCAGTGCTCTCAAACCACCTATGAAGGCATTATCCAAAATCAGGGATACTGCTTCTGATACAGCAATAGGTGGCTACATCATGTGCAGTCATTCCTTTTCTCCAGTCTACCAAAACAGCCCCATAGAAACACATCCATCCTGGTTCATGTAATGGGATGTCTTCACTCCCAAAAGGATATGGAGAACACACATCTCTTCTGCATGACTACAACCCAGCAGAGTTTATCACACCAGAACACTCATTTTGGAGGCTTGGAGGTAGAAGGAAGTTGAGAGCAAAGCATTGTTTGTTGTTCGGTGACTCACTACCACGCCAAATCACTGCTTCTCGGCCCAGAAATGCCACCGAGAAAATACACTTTACATACTCCGAAGCCCTATTCTCTCCCTGGCGACACCAATTTCCGCAGATATGCGGACAGCGTTCAAGAGCCAGGGCTAGCAGAGCCACGTGCCACCCTCGCCGCCTGGGAAGGGCATCAGCTCCGTGCGAGAACCACGGGAATGTGCCACCTCTCAATCGCCTTCCTGTCCCTTCCAGCTGGCCCGTCCCAGCCTAGCCAAGGCTGCCCGCCCGCATCGCGGTCCCGCTCACCCCCTCGCAGGGGTCGGGCACTTCTCTCTCCAGGCAGAGGGGCTGGGAATGGAGGGAGAAGAACAGACTCGTTTCGTCCTGCACAACCGAGACAGGAGCGAACCCCTCGTTTGCCGGGCGCTGCGGCGTGGCACGGAGGGCGCCGGGGCCAGCACGGCGCCGCTGCCCGCCCTGCTTCACCCCCAGCCCGCTCCCAGCGAGGGGCGGGCGGCTCCCCCGTCGTTACCCCCTGCTGCCGCCGGCTGCCGCGTTTGAAAGGGCCGCCGGCGCGACAATGGCGGGCTCGCCGCCCGACGCGCCGCGGGGCGGAGCAGGAAGCGGCGGCTGCGCCGCGCCGCAGGAAGCGCGGCCGGGCCGGAGCGGGGCCGGTGCCGCTACCGCCCCTCCCACCGCCTCCCGCACCGCCCCCGCACCGCCCCTCATACCGCCCCCCGCACCGCCCCTCGTACCGCCCCCCGTACCGCCCCCACCGCCCCTGGCACCGCCCCCGCTGACGGGCTCGCTGCCCCTCACACCGCCCCTCACGCCGTCCTTCACACCGCCCCTCGTACCGCCCCTCTCGCTGTTCCCCGCACCGCCCCTCGTACCGATCCTCACGCCGCTCCCGCTGCCCCTCACGCCGCCCCTCGCACTGCCCCTCACACCGTCCCCGCTGCCCCTCACGCCGCCCCCGCCACCCCGGGAGCAGCCCCGAGAGCTGTGAGGGGTGAGGGGTCGAGGGCCAGCGACCCCGAGGCGCCCCACGGCGAGAGCATCAGCCACCTTTCACTGAAACCAAGGGCTAAGAGCAGAATGCAGGAATGAGCCGGTTCGGTTCTGGGCGAATGGGAGACGAAAGGTGTTAGCCAGGAAGCAGGGTTTTCACGGCGGTCTTGGGAAGCAGAAGTCGTCGTTGTGTGAAGCTGAGATACTGCGTCAAAGGTGACTGCAGAAGACGCAGAAATAAATCCATGCCCTTTCAGCCCCCGGAGTAGATAGAAACATGCAGATCCCAATATACATACCATACTCATGTTCTTTACCCACGCCCTCTAAAATTTGCATTGTTTTTGCTTTAAAGGATTTGCACACTAGTGCTGGGAAAAGTATACAAGGGTTATGTGCCTGCCTTACAATTCCATCTGAAGTTATGTTTCCCTGCAGTCTCTACCTATTCCTTTATCATCCATATCTTCTAAGTTAGCGTTCAGCAAATATCCTGCGAAGTCTGGATTTCGTGCAAAAAATTTAATGGGTGCTGGCTTCTGGAGCCATCACCAGAAGCATGGAGCAAGCACACTGCTATATTAAAGCAGCCTTTCGAGCTTCCATTACCCTAAAAGGTCTTCTGCTTTGTATCATAAATATTTGTAACTTGTGGTCATAACTACGAGCCAGCTGTCCTCCAGCCTTGGAACAGCAACATCTTAAATGTAACTAAGGTGCTATAAACTTAAATAATTCATAATTTTTCATCTTGACTTTATAATAAATATGTGTTTAACAGTCTGGAATGGTTTTAAACACAATAATGTTCAATGCAGTGTGACTGCTCTCTTTGCATGGAGTTTGCCTGACCTCTTTAGCTTTCACAGGCCTGGAGAGAGACTTAGCACGTACTTGTCTTTATGCATTGGGTTTTACCTTTGGTGCCAAATCTTCAGCTGGTATAAATTCTCACAGCTCTGTTGATTTAAATAGGGTCTGTGATTTACACGAGTTGAGGATCTGACTCACAACCTTCAATAGGACTGTTCACATATTTAAGGCTAATCAAGTGTGCAAGTGTTTGCAGGCTCAGAGCTGATTCGCCTGGAGTTTTGGACTACTAAGAGCTAAGCAAAGGGTAGTTAAGTGTAATACTAGGGAGCATGAAATCATGTTAGATCATCAGGTTTTCAGATGAAACGTAGTCATTTATAATAGAAAAGGTTCTGATTCTTTTTACCTCAGATCAGATTCTACTCTTATGCCAAAACAACTTTTAAATAAGTATAGGAACTCAGTGCACTATGTAACTAAGGACAAAAGATTGGTACTATAAATACCTTAAAAGTAATATTTAAAGACTTGGTCTGATTAAGTTTTGTAATACTTAGAGTGCAACTTTGTGCAGAATATAAAAATACTGCCTGTGTCATCTGACTCCTTTGATGCACTGCATTAAAATTCCTATGTCTAAGTACATATCATGCAGGCAACTTTACTTCTCTTCTATTAATAGTTTGAAATTAGGTCACTGTTCTTGTAAGGATAGGCTAAGCCTGTACAACTGATTTAAAAGAAATTACCTATATATAAATGTTTGGGTTTCTTTCTCATGCTTGTCTACAATGACACCATTCCTTATCTATAATCAGTAATTTTTCTGTCTGTCTGTTCTGGCATATATATTCTATGCTGGCAGGTTTTTGTAGATTTGTTTATAGTGACCCCTGCTGCAAAAGATTAAGACTGACGTTTCTCTAAGCCTTTAAAAAGACATTTACCCAATTATTTCTGAGTTCAGCACAAAAGAACCAACCAGATGTAAATCCAAGTATAGAACATTTGAAACTCCCTAATCTGGATAATTTTCAGTAAAATTAGTTGAATCATAAACTACTTTTCCTCTCTTAGATGCATAAGATTTATTTTTTAATGCAATGCAATATAGTTGCAAAGTAAAGTAGCTTCTCATTTCCTAGAGGTAAGGCTTGTTCTTTCTGTTATTGTTCTTTGATAAGGGCTAGACTTGACACCAATAAATCAATGTCTCAACTGCTACATGTAAATGTTTTCAGAGTTCCACTCAGGAAAGCATGTGCTTATGTTTATCTCTGTTCAGGATAGCAAACTACTAAAAAAGCAGATTAAAGCATAGGACTAAGTTTAAACACAGATTACCTCTCTCGTTTCAGAAGGACTTAAGTCCTGCCCTCAATAAAATGTTTTCTCAAGCTTGGCTTTAAAAGCTTCAGCAAGAGGTGTGTGTATGGGTTCATCTACAAGAAAAAGATCCATGTGTGCTCTGTGCTGGGCAAAAGCTGTACAGCCAGAGCTAGTGAAGCACTTAACCTCAAAACCTACAGGCCCTGCTAACAGAGCTGCAGCTTCCAGCTCTTCGGCTTCCTAGCACTCTGCAAGCTGCGCAAAATAAGCATCAACTTGTTTGCAAAAGACATTTGAAAGACACTTGAGGTAAAACCTCACATCCAATATACATTAATGTAAATATTATTGTACAAATATATGTGTCTGATATGTTTTTTTTAAGCTGTGTTTAAAGAGTATTATTTAGGCTGCAAAACTAAGCAAAAAGCCGTATTTAGAGCTCCCTGTGTAATCTTTTTACTGCTCTTTGTGCAAATATTTACTGGTTAATGGAGACATCCCACAGAAAACTGAGACCAGTGGAGTAAAATAACCACAAGAAGGTAGAATAAAAATCTGATGTCTCTTTCCCCACTGAGTCCTTCACATTGCATTCTCAGCATCATTCTCATATTACTGAATGCAATTTTCTATATCTGATAGACAGGTAAAAGATTGAGTTGTCCCGTATCTATATTACCAGTGAGGAAACCTGTGTCTTTTCCACAGTAGCCACAGTTCAACATAAAATGAGTCAAACTTGTTATTTTAATGTAGAGTGATGGATTATGGGTCCTAACAGTGATTGGGGGATGAAACTTAGCATAGCTGCATTTTATTCTCTTTTTCTGGGATTTGGAAAATTGATGCTGCCTGAAATGTCAGGAAGGGAGATGAACCAGTGGGGCAATCTGCTGGGTCTCACTCTCTCCTCCTCTAGAACTGGAGAAAATCCAGTCCTTCACAGTGTTCCCAAAAAACTTGCCATTGGGGGCAGATGCTGGATTACTTGTGCTGTGAGAGTGCAGTCTGGTTCTTGGCCATGTTGCAGTGACATGCTGAGGGTCATATGGTCTGTACTCAGGTTTCATACAGAATGTAATCCATACTTCTGTTTCCTACCTCAGTGCTTTGGCAGCTTGGGAGTTATCTGCTTCTGCAGCCATTACTGCTGCTTTGGTGGTGCTGGTGTGAGCTGAACCATGAGATCCTCATGTGTTTTTATCATCTTGGCAGGCTGACAAAAGTTTCCTTAGGAGTGTGACTGGGAGTAGAGAGTCAGTGATTTTTAGCAGTCCATTTCTCAACAAAAAGTGACAGTGTGAAATGACATAAAGGTATATGTACATAGAGGAGGCTAGAGAGGCAGGAGAGCCCTGCCAGTGCACTTAGCTTGTCAGACACCAGAAGGCCCCAGTCCAGAAGCAAGATAACTGCATGAACCTAAGCTAATGAGCACTGCTGAGAGGCAGGGTATGTTGTTTTGGGCATGGTGCCACATTAACATGACTCTACATCTTCCAGACAGAAGCTTGCAAAGTCTGGGCAGCTCAGAGTGTGAGCAGAGTTTGCATGTGTCTGTCCGCACCTGTCTGCATGGCCTTGCAGAAGAAAAAGCAGCAATTTCCCAAAAGACTTTTTGCAAACCATACAGATATGAATATCCACCAAAAAGGAAAAAAAACCACCAAACAAACAAAACAAGCACCTTTGCTTCAACAGCTCTTCAATTTCTTTTTTCTACCAGGCCCAGAAGAAAGGGTGATATTGTTAGATTGTGTTTGAAGGGTTTCTGAATGGCTTCAGAAAACTCTGGTATTTATCCTCGCAGCATTGTTGTTTCCCTGTTGTGAAGGACGAAGGCACAGACAAATTACATACTTTGTGCAAACATAGAGAACTGTATCAGCACCTTCAAAATCCATTAATATTTCATAGATAGATGGTTAAATATACAGCTGCAGGAAGGAAGATAGTGTAGTCCTTCTTCCAACTGATCCAGCAACCCTTTTGCAGAATTACTCCTGAAATTCTGTTCCATGCTCATGTGTCCAGTATATATACATAAGAGAATGAAAAAAGAATTAAGGCTTGGAAGGAAGCCAGTGGGTGCAAAGGATGTTTGGACTGAAGTGTAGGCACATATGTAGGAACATAAATCTGAATCTCAGACTCAATTTCCTCCTCTGCTACAGATGTCCTGCGTGACCTTCGACAAGTGAGCTTTTTTGCCTTGGCTCCTCATTGTTAAAATGGGCTACTAATAACACTTCTTGAAATTATGTGTGAGGATAAACAATGACTGTGATATGCCCGGGCACTTGCACATAAAGGAGATGGATAAGCATGTCACATT